TGATGTGTTTCTAAAAAAACATATTTAAATTATGGGTGCAAACCATGTAACTACTTTCATGTACAAATCTTTTACTTTGCATTTTATAACTTAAGTTAAAATACTTTTGTATTTTTATAGAAAGTATATAAAAATTATAGTTAACTAAATTAACTAAATTTATTATGTGATTTATTCATTTATTAGTATGTATGTGTTTACATTATACTTGAACTAATATAAATTTAAACCGATATAAACTCAAATCTATATAAACCCAAATCAATACAACCCGAATTGATACAAACCTGAACCGATATAAACCGAACCGTTACAAACCCGAACCGATATAAACCCGAACCGATATAAACCCGAACCGATACAAACCCGAACCGAAACCGAACCGAAACCGAAAACCAATCAAACCGAAATAAACCCGGAACCAAACTAACCCGAACCGAACCGACCCGAACCAATTATAACATATATCCAAAAGAGACCCGAACCGGAACCGAACCGATTGACCCGATTGCCAGGTCTACTTAGTACCCTTAACTTAATAAAACATTATCAATAAAGGAGGTTTTGTATTTACCAACCGAACTAATGCCAATTATCTTTCCTTTGCTATTATCACCAAAAACGACATTTCCTCTTTTTGTGGGTCTTATTTGCAAAAACTTAGATGCATCTCCGATCATGTGCTTGTAGCATCTGCTATCAAGATACCAAAGTAAACTTGATAAATTCAAACACACCTACATACCAAATCAAAGAGATTTAGGTACCCAAACCGTTTGGGATCCTTGAGTGTTAGGTGCATAATGGTAGTGTGATTGATTTTGCGTGATGTGCCTATGCCTATTGAAGCATACATGTTCTATATGTCATATCCTATTACAATAGTGACAAAAAAGAGTTAGGTTTATGCACATTTAAACCATGGTTTCTAGGTTGTACAAAATGATCATTTTTATTCCTAATGTTCTTTCTAGGTGGTCTTGTGCTCCTAAGATTTATAGGTTTTCTGTTAGGGTTAATTTTAGCCTTCCTAGGTTAGGCCTTCGGTTGTCTAGTTGTTGGCTCAACTTTTTCTTTATCATTAGTTTCATTTTCAAAACCTATATCGTTTTTACAATATTGCATCTTATCCAGAACTTTATTAAGATTTTGATGAGATGTATTAAACTATTTTTAAAGTGCCTTCATGTTTTGCAATCATTTCTTTAAGTAATATGCAAGACTCACATTTTGAATTCTTCGGTTTGTCGGTACTTCTTTTTTTAAAAAACTTGTTTTCTTATTTTAATTTTTCATTTTCCTTTGTTAGTTTTTCAACTTCGTTTTCCATAGAAGAGAGTTGTTTCCTTAAATCCTTGTTAGTTTTAGAAGCATTAACAAACTCGTCATAGAGTTCTTCAAAGGCTTCTTGCATATCATTAAAAGAGTAAGGATCTTTAGAAAAAGTTGTACATACCCCTTCCGGTGGTTCCTCGCGATCCATGAGACATAGTTTGGTTCTCTCATCTTCTTTTCCATCTGTGGACTCGTCGCCGGAGTCTCCTCCCTATAAGATGTATGCCTGGTTCTCCTTGAACGGTTTCTTTTCCTTCTCGTTCTTGGCATTTGGGCATTTGGTCTTGATATGCCCAACTTCTTTGCACCCGTAGCATTTGGGTGGTCCTCTTTGTGTCGTTCTCTTCCGTTAATACTCTTTTTGCATGAACTTGTGGAATTTATTGATAATGAGTTTGAACTCATTATCCTCATCCGTTGATTCCTCCATGACTTGTTCATGGCTTGTGGAAGCCTTGAGTGATATCCCCTTTTTCTTTTGATCATTGAAAGAGGGGTTAAGAATAGTGGACTCGTAGGTTTTGAGGTTACCTCTATGTCCGTTTATAGTGACATTGGTGATGCCAATTGATTCTTGAATGGCATCGGCCTTGGGTCACCACTCTCGAGTGAGACTTTGCAGGACTTTCCTTTCGAGTTCCTTGTTCGTGAACGTCTTCTTGAGTGTGTAAAGGTCGTTGACAATTTTCAAAAACTGTTCAAACATGTCATCCGCTTTCTCATTCTCCTTCATACGAAACAATTCATATTCATGGGTTAGAAAATTGATTTTAGCTTCTCAGACTTTATATGTACCTTCATATGTGATCTCAAGCTTATCCGACATTTGTTTTGAGGTGGAGCAAATAGAGATTTTCCGGTAGTCATCTGGATTTACTGCACAATAGAGGATGTTCATGGCTTTTGCATTCTTTTCTATCTTCCTGATGTCCTCCGCATCGTACTCATCCTCCATCTTGGGTAACAAGGTTTCCCCGACCTTTTTCATAGACACTTGCTCACCGTTTTAGATTATTCACCACAGAAAAAGTTCATGAACTGCACTACAAGAAAACGCCAAAACAACGATGGATTGCAGCGACGGAATTTAGTTCGACGCTAACAGCGACGGATTTAGCGACGGAAGAGTACGCCAACCAAAACTAACGACGGAAAAAAAGGTCCGTCGCTCTGTATTGGCAGGAGGTTGTGCGCGACATTTTTTACGACGCAATTACCGACGGAATTTGCCGTCGTTAGTTTTAGCGACGGAGTATTTCCGTCGCTAATGAAATTTTATTGAAACGCTGCGTTTTGGCTAGGCGACGAAATATATCCATTGCGACTTTCCGTCGCTTCAAAACAGATCTTTACCCTCTTCCTTAGTCAGTTTCACCGATTTGCAAACAGAAAGAAAAGGGCCGACCGCCGAGTCTAGTCTCAGGTCTGCTGTCCAAATCGTCGTCGAATCTCCTCTGCCGCGCCGTCCGCTCATCGTCCCTGCCCGCCACCATCAACCGCCGGTCCTCCATGTCGTCCGGTCATCGTCGGGTCTTCATCCCAGGTTTTTTTTTCAATTTTTCATCTCTTATTCAAATTCTATTTGTGAATTAATTTTTTTTATTATAATTGTATTGTTTACATTAGGGTTTTTAAAATATCATATTTTGTTTATAATTATAAATTTAGTTTTAATTTTATAATTATTTTAGGTTAGGGTTTGTTATTCAAAATTTAGTCATTTGTTTTAACAAATTTAATTATATTCCTTAAACTTTTTGTGAATCAATATTGTGCTTACTAATTTTTTAATATGTTATTTTATATATTGTAAGTTTTATTGGAGGAATGAATTTATGCTTATTAATTGTTATATTTTACATATTGATAATGTTACATGAGGATTGATTGTGTATGTATTGTGTATGTTACGTTGTTGAATATTGTAGTTGTTCCGATACATTTATATTATATTTTTTATATTATATTTTTAAGTTTGTTTGTAATGATTCTATAACTTAATAGTATGTTAATTTTAATTATTTGTTTGAATTTCTCAGAATGAGTGACTTTCACGAAAATCGAGATTGGATGTATAAAAGACTTGATAGCTCAGGTTTTATAAATACAGACTGGGTTGACAAAGTTAGACAATTCATTGAGTTTTGTGAGTCAAATCCAAAAGTAGACAGATTCAACGGGTAGATGCGTTGTCCTTGTAAGATTTGTAAGAATAAATATTTTAAAGATATCGAGGACATTAAGCTTGATGTACTGAGACAAGGTTTCACTCCTAAATATCTTGATTGGGTTTGCCACGGGGAGGAACATGGTGACTATACGAGCCATCATCGGCACCGTAAATCTGCTTGTACCTTTGTATACATGAATATGGTGATTGATGCTGCGGGGCCTTCCTTTAATCCTAACGTTCTAGTTGAGGAGGAACAAATATATTGTTGTATTCATATTATTAACTGTTTTACTAATCCTTAATTACTCTTCTTTGCAGATGGCTGGTGGAGAGAACTTTCTAGGTTGCGACATGCCATCCTTGGTGGTGGTAGATCAAGCGGCACATCGGCCAGCGCATCTGCGAGTGCATCACCGTCGCGTAGTCGGTCGCGGAGCCCGTCGCGTAGTTGTTCCCGTAGTCGCTCCCGTAGTCCATGACGGTGACAATCTCACGGATGACCCGGAGTGCTGTGCTTACAGTGATCGTGGAGAAGGCCTCCCAAATGTACAAGGTGACTACTCAGGTCCTACGTGCTACTTCTCTCGTACCTGAGTCTGCTCAGCTATCTCGATGAGCATGACGATGCTATGGACCTTGGACCGAGCGTAGCATACTTTGATCGCTCTGGCAGGTGATTCTACATATATATCTTATTATTTGCATGTATACACGATTATAATGTATCTTATAATGTTGTAATTATAATATCATGTAGTGTCGTCTTCACGGTAGAGGGAGCTCGGATCATTTGTTCAACATTCCAGCAGAGGCTTGATCCAACAGGGGGTAGTTGGAAGAGCCTAAGCGACGCGACTGTGGACTTTTACTGGAGAGAGTTTCAGGTAAAATTTGGTTAGATGCGAATATCAAATGTATGCTTTCTATATTTTGTATTTTATTTAAGATATTTTCTAACATGTCCGGTCTAACTTCTTTTTTTAAATTTAGAAACATGCCACTTGGGACCCTCGCATTGATGACACGTTGTGTTCCGTGCTTGGCGATCGAAGGCTAGAAGACGATACACCGACTGGCTCTCATCTTTTAGGAATGAGAAGAAAGGAACAGATAAGGTGCAGCCACTTGTACCGCAATCGTGGAAAGAGGTATTTTTAAATATCTTTTGAATTGATGAGTTATGTTATACTTAGCATCAAATAGTGTGTATATATTTGTATTCTTGTATTTATATGTTGTTAAACAGTATTGGAAGTCACCAAAGTTTTTGGCATCCTCCAAGCAAAACAAGAAAAATCGGCGTGGTGGTGACGAGAATGCCCCTGCTAGTTCCACGCACACCGGTGGTCCATTGTCTTTTCGCGAGACTCAAGCGCGCCTTGTAAGTATTGATAGTAACAAAAATTACATGTAAATGTTCTAAGTGACGTATTTTCACTTATTTATATATTTTATTTTTTTAGGGTAAAAGTGGAAAGGCTTCTGACTTGTACTCTCCGTACACACACACACACATACGAAGAAACATGATGGAAAGACCTACGTCAATAAAAAGGCAGAAGAAGTATCAGTAAGTGACAATGAATATATATAATGTATATATAAATGATTAGTTTTCGTTGGATTCAATTGAATGTGAATTCATAGTGCTCATTTTATTTTGCTTTTTATGTTACAAAGTATATATACATGTATGTTTTGTGTATTGCAGCAAAACTACGTAGCCATGCAGGAGGCAGTTCGTGAAGAAGGCTTAAATGTGACACCTGACGAGATTTTTCTATCTACAGTCGGAGGACATGATGCCAAGAATCGTGTTCATGGTGTTGGAGATCTCGCACGGAGCCTACCGCGAATGCATGCAAGTGAGGCAAGAGGTGCTAGCACCAGCTCTATGTGGGACCCTCGAGATGATGAGATTCGGAGGTTGAGAGAAGAGCTAGATGAAATTAGAACTTCCCAAGCGTGTGAATTATTGTCGATTAAAGAAGTGATGACCCGACTTTATGGAGGAGTTTTCCCACGTGGAAATGGAGATGGCGGTGGAGATGGAGGAGGGGCGGGGTTTGCAGGGGCTTGTTATGTGTTTTATTAGAATTGAAGAACAATATATTAAACTTAAGTTTTATGGTTATGTAAGTGGAGTTAGATTTGATTGTTATGTTGAATTTTTATAAATATTATTTGAAATTTAGTTGTACATTGGTGACTTGAATATTCTTGGTTGTTTGGTAATCTTCATTTCCAGTAATTGTTGTTGTTTGATGCTGGGATTTCTGATCTTTGCTATGGATTTGTGCAAAATTGAAAAACAGCAGCTTCCTGGTTGTAACATGTCAAATTGGTGACGGAATTGGCGACGAAATTGCATTTTCGTCCCTATATGGTCAAAATGCATATTCCATTGCTATTTTTGTTGTTCGACCTAGCGACGGATATTTTCCGTCGTGAGTTCCGTCGCTTATTTCCGTCGCCACTTCCGTCATAGACTAGCGACGGAATCACAAATCCGTCGTCACATTTACTATTAACGAAAAATTAACGACGGAATAGATTCCGTCGTTTTTTCTGTCGTTACGAAGATTACCTACGGAAATAAGGCTTTGGCGACAGAATTATTCTGTCGCCATTTGAGCAGTTTTTTGTAGTGTTGGATGTAGACCCTCATTCGCTCCTTCCAATAGGTGTAATTGCTCCCATCAAAAAATGGTGGCCTCGTTGTGGATTGACCTTAACCTATCCATGCATATAAGTTTTGAGTAGAAGTCATTGATCGTTTGTCTCAAATAGCTGAGTCTTTTAGAGAGTATGACTCTAATACCAATTGTTAGAATAAAGGCTCAACACTAGAGGGGGGTGAATAGCGTTTAAACAAAATCACAGGAAATTAAAATGAAATAAGCAGGAAATAAAAAGCGTAAGGAAATAAAAACACAGTGATTTACACTAGTTCACCACAACTTGTGGTTATGTATAGTCTTCTGAGAGACTCACTCGAAAGCTTTACTAACTTTGTTAATCTTAAAGGTTCTTAACAAACCAATACAACTTGAAAACTCGAGAAAACTCGAGTGACACAAGCTTCAACACAGATTGCTCGGAGTTACCATACTCCAAGACATCAACCGAACGAGCTAATGCTTCGTTCCAATTACAACAAGGGAACAACCTTCCATTCTAGCGTATAGAAACACTCAAGCACTCAAGAATAAGACCCTCTTTTAGAGTGGATATAAGTAAACTAATAGACGCTCAAAAACGCAACAATTTCATCAAGAATTGGCTCTCAAAAAGCTATGAATTATGAAAGATATGTATGCAATGAAAGAGTATTGAATATTAAAGAATTGTGTCTAAAATGAGAGGAGTTTTGTGCCATTTTATATGCTTGAAAGTGGTTTAACTATTGCATAATATCCCAACACGATCAGGACAAATATTTTGAAATAACAGGGTGATCGCCGATTATCATAAAGCTGATACTCGACTATCAAAAGATTCCTTGTCCAAAAAAACTATCCGTTGGAGGGCAACGTTAACAATGATAGTCGATTATCAAATATTGATAGTAAAAAAAACCTAATAGTCAACTATGAGACCTCTCTGGAATTTCTGGGTTTGGAAGCAAGGCTTTGATGGTCGATTATCAATAAAGTGATAGTGGACTATCATGCCTTTCTGAATTTAGAGTTCAAAGCTACCCAATGCTGAAAACTAAGGTCAAAAGTGTTCCCAAAATAAAAACCAAGTGTTGGAAACACTTATTTGATGTATTTGAAATAAAAAACAACTATAAAAATTTAAAAACCACGTCTTTAAGGTGAAAACCACGGATCGCCAAGGTAAAGACGATTTTCATGGTTTTTGACCAAAGACCAAAACCCAAAGGTGGTTTTTAGAAAATAATAGTTTGGAAACCTTTTTTAATGTGCCCAGATGTAAAACCCAAGTATAAAAATTTGAAAACCACTTGGTTGTTTTGGATGCCAAGAACCAGCGCCGAACGTTATAGTTTTTGGTTAGGCAATGACCAGTGATGGGAAATAATATGTGGCTCGGCCCACATTTCCTAATTATTTACGAAGAACAATCAAACCGAGCCTGTTTAATAAAGTGGAATAATAAGAGGGTTGCCTATAAAAGGAGGGTTGCCCTAATTGTTAAGGGAGGCAAGTTCACTCTCTCCCGTGCCCATTACACTTTCTCTCTCTAGAATTTTATAGTTTTTTGTTCTTCAATAAGCTTTTAAGCTTCCATTAATGGCTTCCAAGCCTAAATCATGTACCATGTACACACCTCCGATATTAATAGAAATCCCCCACTAGTAAGGTACCGCCGAAAAAGGCCTGTGGTTTTCTCTCGATTTGGGTTTCCACGTCAAAATCCATGTTTCTATATTTTGGTGTATTTTTAGACTAGTTTATCGTTTTTGCCCGGCTAAAAACGATATACCGGTCGATAATTTACACCATCATTTTGGCGCCGACCGTGGGACCCGAACAAAAAACCATGATTTCCATTTTGCTCATACCAAAATCCACGAAGCAAAATAAATTCATCAATCAAATTCAAAT